ACAATATAGCAGAATATTCTGTGTTATCAGGCGCTTAAATTAAATAATAACAGGTGCTCTTATAGTACAGCAGCTCTCACACAAGAAAATAGGTACTCTTCAGTCCTATCGTGATTATATGTGAAAAGAACACTTATTTACATAACCAGTATGAAAAAGTGACAGTGTGTAGCGCTAGGTAATATCGACTTACACCGTGAGGAACTTTAGGGATATGGAGTATATATATATTCTCCTGAATCTTGGAGGGTATAGGAGATATATATACTGTGGAGAAAATGGAAAAAATATATAGTGCACTCTGTGCAAACAGGCGTAGTGGTAAATCGTATAATAGGAAGCACTCACGTGGTACAGAGCCTATTATGGATTGGCTCTTAATCACTCTTGCCTTGTGTCCTTTAGGTGACACACACCTTCAACTCCCAATAAGGAATAACCCTCAAAATAAAAGAGAAACAGGGGGAAATCCGCCCTAGTATTGAAATCCTTAGAGACAACGATATATAAACATATATATGCAGGTGAAAATTGCTTCTCACCTGAACCAGAGCCTGTAACCTGGCTCTAAGTAGAAAGGCATATGAGTCCTTTTATGGGATGACTCCTTCCCTCTTTAATGGATGGAAAATGTACCAAATATACTGTTGAAATTTAAAATGGTATTTATTACATTCATATAAAATCAGTCTTGATACATACAGTATACTGGTTTCCAAAACGCGTTTCGCCGATTCCGTTCGGCTTTCTCAATCGGTAATTTCCATCCAGTTCTCTTCCTGTTTATAAATCCCGCCTCCCGTCCTGATTGGTGGTCAGAGATCGAGAACCAACCAATCACGGACGTTTCTGCGGGGGAGGGTAAAGTGCTCCAGCTGTATTATTTTATCCCTTAACGGTGACATCATCACGCACGTACATGTGATCGTGCGGACGGTGTCACTTCCGGGAATGTGAAAACACTATATTCACAACATTAGTCCTCAATGTCCGGTTCTCATCTCCTCAATTTGGCCGACATCACTTCCCTTTCTCTCAAGGTTCTCTCCTCCAGCTCCTCATTCCTCCATTTTGATTAGTGGCAAAGAGAGTTGAAGAAATCGTGAACACAAGTTCATAGTAATATTTTTCAGTCCTAAGGCAGATATGCTCATATTTGAGCATTTGGGCATAAAGAACAATAAAGTGCATCAATTTGTTATATTTTACAGAGAAAAATATATTTAAAAGAGAACACATATACATTTTTAAATAAGAGATGTACAAGGTATTAATGATGTTCCAGCCACTAAAAATAAAAAGAATCTTCAATATAATTTAAACATTAAAAAAATATAACAATAGAGTATAAAAATCACTATAAAAATTGACCCAAAAATGGCTAAAACTTTTTTATAAAAAGTGGCATAATTCAAAATCATCATTAAGACCATAAGGTTGCATGGTGTTTAAATTAAAAATCCATCTCATCTCTGTTTGTCCAATTAATTTCATAGGGTCACCACCTCTCCAATTTCCGACTATTTTCTGAATTCCCATAAATTCCATCAATTGGGGGTTACTATTATGTTGGTTTTTAAAGTGCAAGGACACACTATGATTAAGGAACCCTTTTTTTATGTTCCTAATATGTTCCTGGATTCTGGTATTTAAAGTCCTATTGGTCCTTCCTATGTAGGCTAAACCACAGGGACAAGTAATCATATATATTAATTTAGTTGTGTAACAAGTAATAATTTGTTTAATTTTAAAACTTTTATTCTTGTCCTGTGGGTGATTAAATTCTCTTACTGTTCTCTTACTATTTTTGGAACCCTTACATGCTCCACACATGCCGCATCCATAAAAACCTGGTTTTTCTTTAAAAAATTGGTTCGTCAATTTCCTAGAGGTTATATGATTTTTTGTTAACGTCCTCTTAAGATTTGGTACACCTCTATATACTATGTCAGGTGTATCAGGAAGTATTGAATTCAATATAGGGTCATTCTTTAAAAGTGGCCAATATTTCCGAATGATTTTCTTTAGACCTCTACTGTTATAGTTAAAATCACAAATAAATTTTAAATTCTGTGGTTCTACATTCACCTTGATTTCTTTATATTCTATTAATTTTGTCCTATCCTCATTTTCTACTTCGACAAGGGCTTTGTTCAAAAGTTCATCTTTATACCCCTTCTCTCTAAAATCTTTTATTATTTTCTCCGATTGTTCATAAAATTTATGTTGATCCGTACAATTTTTTTTCACTCTAAGTAATTGCGCTTTAGGGGCGTTTAACAGCCAAGGGGAAAAATGGCAACTATTTTCCCCTATATAGCTGTTAACGTCCACCTTCTTAAAATAAGTACAGGTTTTAAGTGTATTTTGTTCAACATAAATATTGAGGTCTAGAAATTCTACAGAACTCTTATTAAAATTACTTGTAAGTTTAATACCCCATTCATTTTCATTAAGATGATTTAAAAATGATAACAGTGATATCTCGTCTCCATCCCATATAAAAAATATATCGTCAGTATATAGCGGCATAGGTCGCGCCCAGCTACGCGAACCTATTTATGGCACACTGGGAAGAAGAATATATTTATAGCGACCAGAGATGGGACGCGAACCTCGTGACCTATCGCCGTTACATTGACGATATATTTTTTATATGGGATGGAGACGAGATATCACTGTTATCATTTTTAAATCATCTTAATGAAAATGAATGGGGTATTAAACTTACAAGTAATTTTAATAAGAGTTCTGTAGAATTTCTAGACCTCAATATTTACCTCAACATCCAGCTATTACTAATTCTGTTGATAATGATGGGCCAAATATTATTCATACAGACTTAAAAGAGAGCTCTACCTTTTTTCCTCGCCACTTCATATCAGATGAAATGACAACGTTCGAAAAAATGGTAATGAGCGATATGAATAAAATAAAGAAACCCAAAATAAATAATTATAATTTGAATATTCAGGAGAGACAGGCCCTTAAAAAACTAAGAGAGGACGAATCTTTGGTAATTAAACCAGCTGATAAGGGGGGGGGGATTGTAATTTTAGATATAGATGATTATAATAAAGAAGCATGGAGATTATTGAATGATAAACAAACTTATCGTACTTTAACAATGGATCCCACGAAAGAAATTAAACTGAGTTACAACGATTTAATCGAGAAGGGTAAAACCATGGAGATCTTTAATCAAAAGGAATACAAATTTTTAAATGTACAGTACCCTAAAATCCCTGTTTTCTATTATCTACCTAAATTGCATAAAGACAAAGATAGACCCCCGGGTAGACCTATAGTTTCTGGGATAGGGTCTATCTCTAGCAAACTATCTCAATATATAGATAGGTGTTTACAGCCTATAGTCTGCACATGTCCTAGTTATCTCAAAGACACTATAAATTTACTGCAAGTAATTAAAAATATAGAATGGAAAGAAAATTACTATTTGGTGACTGCAGACGTCAATTCTTTATATACAGTAATTTCTCACACAAGAGGCTGTGAAGCAACGAAGCACTTTCTGGAACTCTCTAAGAAATTCCCGCAAAAACAAATAGATTTTATTGTAGAAGGGATAAATTGGATTTTAACCAATAATTATTTTTGGTATGGGGAAGAATTCTTTTTACAAATTTGTGGCACAGCGATGGGCACGAGGTTCGCGCCCAGCTACGCGAACCTATTTATGGCACACTGGGAAGAAGAATATATTTATAGCGACCAGAGATGGGACGCGAACCTCGTGCCCATCGCCGTTACATTGACGATATATTTTTTATATGGGATGGAGACGAGATATCACTGTTATCATTTTTAAATCATCTTAATGAAAATGAATGGGGTATTAAACTTACAAGTAATTTTAATAAGAGTTCTGTAGAATTTCTAGACCTCAATATTTATGTTGAACAAAATACACTTAAAACCTGTACTCATTTTAAGAAGGTGGACGTTAACAGCTATATAGGGGAAAATAGTTGCCATTTTTCCCCTTGGCTGTTAAACGCCCCTAAAGCGCAATTACTTAGAGTGAAAAGAAATTGTACGGATCAACATAAATTTTATGAACAATCGGAGAAAATAATAAAAGATTTTAGAGAGAAGGGGTATAAAGATGAACTTTTGAACAAAGCCCTTGTCGAAGTAGAAAATGAGGATAGGACAAAATTAATAGAATATAAAGAAATCAAGGTGAATGTAGAACCACAGAATTTAAAATTTATTTGTGATTTTAACTATAACAGTAGAGGTCTAAAGAAAATCATTCGGAAATATTGGCCACTTTTAAAGAATGACCCTATATTGAATTCAATACTTCCTGATACACCTGACATAGTATATAGAGGTGTACCAAATCTTAAGAGGACGTTAACAAAAAATCATATAACCTCTAGGAAATTGACGAACCAATTTTTTAAAGAAAAACCAGGTTTTTATGGATGCGGCATGTGTGGAGCATGTAAGGGTTCCAAAAATAGTAAGAGAACAGTAAGAGAATTTAATCACCCACAGGACAAGAATAAAAGTTTTAAAATTAAACAAATTATTACTTGTTACACAACTAAATTAATATATATGATTACTTGTCCCTGTGGTTTAGCCTACATAGGAAGGACCAATAGGACTTTAAATACTAGAATCCAGGAACATATTAGGAACATAAAAAAAGGGTTCCTTAATCATAGTGTGTCCTTGCACTTTAAAAACCAACATAATAGTAACCCCCAATTGATGGAATTTATGGGAATTCAGAAAATAGTCGGAAATTGGAGAGGTGGTGACCCTATGAAATTAATTGGACAAACAGAGATGAGATGGATTTTTAATTTAAACACCATGCAACCTTATGGTCTTAATGATGATTTTGAATTATGCCACTTTTTATAAAAAAGTTTTAGCCATTTTTGGGTCAATTTTTATAGTGATTTTTATACTCTATTGTTATATTTTTTATTTTTTATTTTTATATTTTTTTTTTTTTATGATGAATTTTTTTTTTTTTTTAATTCTTTATTTTTGTTGTGCAGGTGGTTACAGGGTATCGACAGACGCCACAACAGCGTATTGCAGAATTTACAAAAGTTAGGCAGTGGCATGGAAATTCGCACATCTTTTATATTTTTATAGCAAGCTTGACTAAACTGGTATATTGTCAGGGTAAAAGTAAATAAAACTATTAGTGCTTAACAATGCTAGATTAGCTATGTTAGTGTAGTTAGAGTAGGTTAAACATCAAGCTTCAAGATATGCTAAAACAATTGCTTTGCTGGATTTGTATCTATGACTCAATGCAGGGCTAAATTAATATAAAAATAAATGGTAGACAAGGCTTAAGCTATGCAAGTGGTTTTAACGGTGTAAGTTATAAAAAGAGAGCATCAGGTTGCATAGATGGCAAAAGTGACAGGAGCCATCCCCTCTGACTGCAGCCCAGACCTTGAGAGAGTCTCCCTGGCAGTTCATGCTCATCCAACCCCCGATCTGCAGAGTCTGTGGCATGGTAGGAGTGAGTCCAGCGTGACTAGTGGTAAGAGGGGTGGGTGCACTGTGTTTGATCCCTTTTGTCTGCCCGATCCTCTGCTGGGTTCAGCTGAAATGCGGGGGTGTCGTGTAGGTTTGCAGCGTTGCATACGGATGGACCGGGTGGCAGGTCCCGACTGCACTTTGCCGCAGGAGCCGGGAATCCCCGTCTGTGGGTCAGTGACTTCGCTGTAGTGAGGGGCCCCTCTGCTTTTTAACCGTCTGGACAGCCTCGAGGAATCAGATCTGCTGAGACCCGGTGCTCCCAGCTTGCGCCGCCATTTCAGGTTTGCCTGCTGCTTCCGCCAGTTTGGTTGTGGGGAGCCCTCTCAGACCCTGGCATTACAGGTCGCGGAGACAGTCTCCTGGGACCGGGATGACCCCCACCGGTCCAAAGGGGGGGGATACGGGGCCCTTACCGCGTGGCGTCGGAGCTCCGAAGGGAGACCGCAGGGCAGGATAGCGAGGTGGCGGCCGTCCACCCCACTCACCGCTCGGGTAGGCCTCAGATGTAGCTGTGCTGATGTGCCTTCTCAGGGGTCAAAACGCTTGTAATCCGAGTGGCCTCAGCTCCAGCACCTCTTTGCCCGCAGGACCGCTGCTGCTTAACTGCAGATAGGTATATTATTTGCTTTTTGTAGGTATTAATGTTGTTAGTCTGCAGGAGCTTGTCTTGCATGCAACCTCTCAGCATGGCGGTCCGGCCCCGCCCCCCGTTATATTTTTTTAATGTTTAAATTATATTGAAGATTCTTTTTATTTTTAGTGGCTGGAACATCATTAATACCTTGTACATCTCTTATTTAAAAATGTATATGTGTTCTCTTTTAAATATATTTTTCTCTGTAAAATATAACAAATTGATGCACTTTATTGTTCTTTATGCCCAAATGCTCAAATATGAGCATATCTGCCTTAGGACTGAAAAATATTACTATGAACTTGTGTTCACGATTTCTTCAACTCTCTTTGCCACTAATCAAAATGGAGGAATGAGGAGCTGGAGGGGAGAACCTTGAGAGAAAGGGAAGTGATGTCGGCCAAATTGAGGAGATGAGAACCGGACATTGAGGACTAATGTTGTGAATATAGTGTTTTCACATTCCCGGAAGTGACACCGTCCGCACGATCACATGTACGTGCGTGATGATGTCACCGTTAAGGGATAAAATAATACAGCTGGAGCACTTTACCCTCCCCCGCAGAAACGTCCGTGATTGGTTGGTTCTCGATCTCTGACCACCAATCAGGACGGGAGGCGGGATTTATAAACAGGAAGAGAACTGGATGGAAATTACCGATTGAGAAAGCCGAACGGAATCGGCGAAACGCGTTTTGGAAACCAGTATACTGTATGTATCAAGACTGATTTTATATGAATGTAATAAATACCATTTTAAATTTCAACAGTATATTTGGTACATTTTCCATCCATTAAAGAGGGAAGGAGTCATCCCATAAAAGGACTCATATGCCTTTCTACTTAGAGCCAGGTTACAGGCTCTGGTTCAGGTGAGAAGCAATTTTCACCTGCATATATATGTTTATATATCGTTGTCTCTAAGGATTTCAATACTAGGGCGGATTTCCCCCTGTTTCTCTTTTATTTTGAGGGTTATTCCTTATTGGGAGTTGAAGGTGTGTGTCACCTAAAGGACACAAGGCAAGAGTGATTAAGAGCCAATCCATAATAGGCTCTGTACCACGTGAGTGCTTCCTATTATACGATTTACCACTACGCCTGTTTGCACAGAGTGCACTATATATTTTTTCCATTTTCTCCACAGTATATATATCTCCTATACCCTCCAAGATTCAGGAGAATATATATATACTCCATATCCCTAAAGTTCCTCACGGTGTAAGTCGATATTACCTAGCGCTACACACTGTCACTTTTTCATACTGGTTATGTAAATAAGTGTTCTTTTCACATATAATCACGATAGGACTGAAGAGTACCTATTTTCTTGTGTGAGAGCTGCTGTACTATAAGAGCACCTGTTATTATTTAATTTAAGCGCCTGATAACACAGAATATTCTGCTATATTGTAAATTACCATATTATACCATACTAACAGTTGCTCTTAATTTTCTTAACAGACCTTTGCACAATTTTAGGATGTAATTTTGTTTTATCTGAATAATTAATGTTTAATTTAATATAATATTAGCAAAATAGGTCTGTCCAGTCTTTCACCATTTCATGTTTTTTTTGTTATTGCCTTGTCCGTTTCATGTTTTTTTGTTGTTGCTTTTTTTTTATTGTGATCTTGTTTCATTTTAGAAGATGATAATGAGGAAACTGCTAAGTACTGGAATGATATGGCTAAAGAAACTCTGGAAGAGGCTCTAGAAATGAAGCCTAACATAAATAAAGCCAAGAATCTCATCATGTTCCTTGGAGATGGTGAGTTTAGATGAACAAACAAATTCTGTAATGTTTGCTTCTTTAATTTATGTTATGAGTAATGGTTTGCACATCATGAGAGATCAGAGGTTTCAGGCATCTGTAGATCAATTCAAGATGGCATTTACATTGTGATACAAACATTGAATTGTAATACAGTTAATTACATGACATTGTGGTTGCATCAGTGGCGGATTCAGAGCCTGACCTCGGGAGGGGCACTTGCAGATTATTTAGAGAAATAATCCAGACACAATACCCACTACAGCTCAATGTAGTGGTTATGGTGCCAGTAGTGCCGGGACCCCCTCCCAGAGTAAGTAGTCAAACCGTTTAAGAACAGTTTGACAACTTACCTGAGGTCTGCTTGGAAATGGGGCTGTAGTAGGGCATAGGAGCAGGGGTGCAGTGTGTGTGTGTTTGTGTAAGAAGGACTGTGTGAGCAGTGTGTGTGTGTGAAAGTTGCAGTGTGTACGTGAGGATGGCAGTGTGTGTTAGGGGGGCAGTGTGTGTGTGTGCGTTGCAGTGTGAGTGGGGGGCAATGTGTGTATGGGGGGAAGTTTGTGTGTGGGGGGCCAATGTGTGTGTAGGGTGTGTGTGTGTATTGGGGGCAGTGTATGTGGGCAATGTGTGTGTATGGGGGAAGTGTATGTGTGTGTGTATTGGGGGCAGTGTATGTGGGCAATGTGTGTGTATGGGGGAAGTGTATGTGTGTGTATGGGGGCAGTGTATGTGTGTGGGAGCAGTAGTGTATGTGTATGGTGGGCAATGTGTGTATGGGGGCAGTGTATGTATATGGGGCAATGTGTGTGTATGGGGGCAGTGTATGTATGTGGGGGCAATGTGTGTGTATCGGTGCAGTCTATGTATGTGGGGGGCAATGTGTGTGTGTGGGGGCAGTGTGTGATAAGGATGGGGGGTGTTTTTTTAATGTTTTTCTTTTTTAAATTTGATAAAATGATTTTTTTTTTAATTTAAAATATACATAAAGTCCCCCCTCCCTTCTTACCTTTGTTTAGGGAGGAGGGGGGACATTTCTCGATCCCTGGTGGTCCGGTGGGGAATCCCTGGTGGTCCATGTGGTGAGAGTGAACTCTAGCCCCGGTCTCCAGGACTAGAGTTCACTCTCGCGAGATCCGGAGCGTTGCCGTGGCAATGCTCCGTGCTCGCGAGAGAAGGACCTGGAGGAGCTGCAGACTGAGCTCCCCCGGGTCCTCTCTCTCTCCCTACTCTGCCGGCGGCCAGCAAACAGTGCCTGCGGACCGGAGAGGGAGATCTCTGATCTCCCCTCCGGTCCATGAAGGCACATTGCAGGGCTGGCGCTTGGACAGCGCCAGCCCTGCATTAGCCGGCAGGGATGAGGGAGAACCTCGGATTCTCGGGGGGGGGGGGGCAATTGCCCCATTGTCCCCCCCCGGATCCACCAGTGGGTTGCATCATGATAGATTATAGAACACTTACAATAAGGTATTGGCTCATTTATTCCTGCAACCAGCACATTACTGATAAATGCAGGGCTGGCACAACCGTTAGGCGAACTAGGCATTCGCCTAGAGCGCCAAACCTGCGGGGGAGCCGACCTCTGTCTTGGGCCTCCTGGTGGACCCCCTCTGTCTTGGGTCCCAGCGCTGGGCAAGTGGCTCTTGAGCCGCCTCTCTCACCCCCCAAGCGCCAGGCTGATCCTCCATGTGCCCAAAAAAGA